AGGCAAATGCTGAGGCAGTAATATTCCACAGATAATCTTTCATTCTCTTCTGTCTTCATTTCGTTCGTCTCAATTTTCTCACCCGAACCACCACCCACCCATTCCCACGATTCCTGAAAGCTGGCTGAAGAGGGCCTTCCGCCCTACCTTCCGGCGTAGTCCGGAGGGACTGCCCGCCCACCAGCATTACTGGGTGGTGGGAATGAAACACCCAAAAGAAAGAAGAAGAAAAAAACTGAGCAATACTCTTTGTGAAATTGACCACTCTCTAGATAAAAACTTGTTTCTTTCCCTCTTTCTTTATCTCATTCGTAACCAGTAAAAAAAATACTAGTCGCACGATCGCTTTGTCTCTCTCTCACACGTTTCTGTCTGCATTTACCTTACAGCAAGGATCGAGAATGCGTAGTCCATCCTCTACGTCTATGCTTTTTTTGTTTCCTAACCTGAGGGCATAAAGAACAGGAAGAATGTTCCAACAAATGTATTGAGTTCATTGGAGATTATGTAGAAAAATACTTTTTTTTTGTTGTTTTCTATGACTTTTATCAAATTTATTGTTCCACCCTCATATTAAACATACGACAACACTTCAAGGCGATATTTACTGGGTTATTCTAAGAATGTTTTGTCCACTTTGATGATTTTTGGAAAGCGTCATTGTTACAAGTGTTCTTCGACAAAACCATTTTTGATACTTTTAGTATTATTAATGCAACAGGAAAAGCATGAGTACCTACAGAAGCACAAAAAATGGTTCACTGTTCTTTTCTTTTAACAATTCTGGTTACTGAGAACGGAGAGAAATACAATGTGGTTTATGTACGATGAGATGCACTACCACATTTTGCTAACTTATGTATATAATCGTTTGACTTAACTCTCTGGATTATAGGGCTATTTGAAGTTATTAGTTTACACTACTCCAGTGGAAAGATTTGAGATATAGGAAATTGCATGATTCAAAATATTGCTTTGTCGAAAACATTAATCGCCATGCATTTTGGTAGCAAAGACGTTTTCGAGAAATCGTTAAAGGACAAAATATTCTTAAAATAATCCAGGCAATAACCTTAATAAAGTTTTGCCGTACATTTAATGAATACAATCAAATGAATCATTAATGACAAGTTTATTAATGCATAATTACTTACAGTTAAGCCCGCTTTTTAATTAGAAGTAAAATGTTATACACAATATCTTAATTACACATTCATTAACTGTCTCACTATCTTTTAATTAAATACAGAAATTAATTAGCAATAAATATCTGGTAAGAAGCGGATTCTAAACCTTTTTTCTAGTACCAAATGTACCTTCGCAATCCAAAACCTAATTTTGTGCCCAGCTTCTTCAGCAATATTCAGGGTTGGCATACGCAGTGTTTTCTTATGGAAACCAATTTTGCAACGGAATGCGTTTTTTACAAACTCTGCGTTAGCGGTAATAGAAGCATGAAAATGCTTTTTATAGAAAAGTTTCAGAACTTAAAAAGACCTGCAAAAACTCCGCAACGACATATGTACATTCCGTGTTTTTAAAATAGCGGAATTGTCTACATAAAATTTGTATCTGTTTCAACAGATGTTCTTTTTAACATTGAACATTTTATACTGTAGGTGTCTAATTGTTTTGCTCAAGCACATTCAACTTACATACAATTTAGACATCTTTTCGAAGTGAGTTAGTTTAATATGAAATATTATTCTGAAAAATTCTGAATTTTATACCCACTACACGCTACCTCAAATTAATGAGGGAAAAACTGTTGCTGTTGTTTAATCATAGTATATTCAGTATATATAGTCACATTAGTACGACGGATCGTTAACCTTGTAGGTCGGTTGGTCGTGGTTGCTGTTATCACCTCTAGTAGTTTATTGATGCGTAAAGCCAAAGGTCCCGGGTTCGATTCCCGACGGGGGTGTGACAACAACAACAATTTTTCCCTGTATAGTGGGTATAAAATTCAAAAATGAATTTTCAGAATAATATTTCATATTAAACTAACTCACTTCTAAAAGTTATCTAAATTGTATGTATAGGGTTGTTCGGAAAGTTTTCGTATAATAAACAAATACTTTATTAAATTATATATTGACCGTTCTGGTCCAACACCTTTTGCCATCTTTCTGGTAGTAGCATAATTCCACGCTCATAAAATTTTTGGTGTTTGCTGGCAAAAAACTGATCGAGGAGGTTTTTGACCTCCTCATTTGAGGTGAAGGTTTTACCGTCTAAAAAATTTTGGAGTGACCGGAACAAATAATAATCCGATGGTGCCAGGTCTGGAGAATATGGTGGGTGTAGCATTGTATCCCATTCAAGCTGTAAAAGCTTTTGGCGAGTGACCAAACTTGTGTGAGGTCTCGCGTTGTCTTGGTGAAACACTACACCTTTCCTGTTGATTAGTTCTGACCTTTTCTGTTGAAGTGCATCATTCAGTTTGTCCAGCTGATGACAGTAGACTTCCGAATTAATCGTTGTGTTATCCGGTAAAAGCTCAAAAAAAACGATTCCTTTAAAATCCCACCAAACAGACAGCATCACCTTTTTTTGGTGAATATCGGCTTTGGAAATGGTTTGAGCCGGTTCATCTTTTTTGCTCCATGACCTCTTGCGTTTGACGTTGTTGTATACAACCCATTTTTCGTCCCCAGTGATGATGCGCTTCAAAAACGGATCATTTTCGTGACGTTTGAGAAGCGAATCGCAGACGTCAATGCGGCGACACAGATTTCTCTCTGTGAGAACATGGGGAACCCATACATCGAGCTTCGAGGATAATCCCAGGCCTTTCAAGTGGTCATAAACTGTTGAATTTGATAAATTTAACCTCAATCCGATCTCACGTGTTGTTATTCGCCGGTTCACATCAACTAATGCCTTTATCGCGTCTTTATCAGCTTCAACCGGCCTTCCCGAACGTGGTGCATCTTCGACATCAAAATTGCCGGATCGAAATTTAGCGAACCAGTTCTGGCACTGGCGTACTGTCAACACACCTTCTCCATACACATCAGTCAATTTCTTTCTGGCTTGAACAGCATTTTTACCCTTTCTGTAGTAAAACAGTAAGATATGTCGAAAATGCTGCTTATCGCTCTCCATATTTAAAAGGGCACCAACCAAAAACTACTGCGTAGAATTAATTGGAATTTTTCACACACAAGCCTTGCTATATGAGCTCTCAAAGCATATAAAAATTATACGGCTTAAATGTGAAGTTGGGTGCAAAAGAATACAATTAAATCCTCTGTCGGGAAAAAACAAAATGACTTTCCGAACAAGCCTATATGTTTAAACGTAGTATATTCAGTATATATAGTTTAGTGGTCAGAACATTGGTGCATAAAGCCAAAGGTCCCGGGTTTGATATTCGGCGGGGGTGTGAAAACAGCAACAATTTTTCCTTCATTAATTTGAGGTAGCGTGTAGTGGGTATAAAATTCAAAAATGAATTTTCAGAATAATATTTCATATTACACATTCAACTTGTTGGTGGCACCCTAAATTTCATTTGTTCCTTTACAACTTAATTTTGTTTACTAAAAAAATTTGTCACACAGTTAGGTAATAGGTTTTCAATGTAAATTTTATTCTCGACAATTAGTTATTTTTATTGCGAAATGTGCACTTAATTGGATTGCGTGGGACCTGGGGGCGAAGCGACGCCCTCACTTTCTGTCGCTAATTTAGAAACAATTTTTAAAACAATAACATGTTATTAAAAAAACGTAGGTTAGATTATCTGTAATTTTTTGTAATAATCAAATTGCTATCTTGCTAAAGGCCATTAATTATTCAAGACGAACAACGATACTGAAATTAATTCTTAATTAAACGTGAACCAGATTGCAGTAAAATTACGTTCTGGTTAAATTCAATGCCAAGGCGAAATTGATACTATATGTATATTCATTATGTCCAATCCTATTTCTAGAATTTCGATTTACGAGATAAGAAGGAATTTGTTTTTTTGCAAGCAACAACCTAAAAAAAAAAACTTTTGTGGGGCTAACTTTTCCTCATTGGGCCGATGGCCGTGCTATAGTATTTATTTTCCTTATTCAGTGAGTACACCGATTAATCGACGTTTCGCCAATTGCTGCGGTTTTTTTTTTAAGGGATTTCCTTTGTTTGTATACTTGTCTCTTTTCTTTTTCATAAAAAATCGTAGAAAATTTTTTATTAGGTGGAGTATGGTATGGGATGAAAGGACCCTGTCATACAGTTCACTCTCGGGTCCATTAGGATTTACTACGCCACTGGCTAATGTTTGTCTTTTGGAGCAAAGGCTTTCTTAACGTAGGTTTTAGTTTATTTTATGGTAATTGGTATCGTTTGCAAAAATGGTACATAGTAGATATAATTATTACGTTGTAAAAACACTGATGCATGACTTCATCAATATTACCTTAAAATTTACCTTGATATTGAGGAAGCCTTCGCACTGAAAGACGATACGTTGCACGTTAATGTTAATGTAATAAATAAACTCTGTGCGCCTTCCCTGACTTCACTGTACGCTTTATATGTTCTTATCAGTATTTTGTTGGGCAACCAAACAAGTAAAGAAATAAACTGGACCTTTGAAAATCGAATGGATTAGGATTATCTACTGTGGAATTAAACTAAACTATAAATAAAACATTAACACCGAAAATCTACTGTACAAATACAACATACAACTCCACTTAAAAAAAATTAGAAACCTAAATGCGTTTTGAAATACAAGGTAATACCTTTATGACATTTTTAATTATTAATAGTGGGTAATATGAGATATTATTGTGAAAATTCATTTTCCATTCACTACAAAACAAAAAAAAAATTGTAGAGGATGGAAAATTGAAAATGAATTTTCACATTAATATTTCGTATTATCCTTATTTAAAGAAAGTCTCTACCTGAGAAAAACACCCTGTGTGTCAAAATACGTGTTATGTTTCTAAACAACATTATGTAGTTTTTTCTTTTTGTAATAAAAAAGTTGTTACCTCATAAAAATAAAAACTCGCGGCCCTCTTTGCAATATACTGTGCACTTGTATGATGTGGGGATTTTCAATTTTTGTCAAAATGTCCAGTTCTCTGGGAAAGAATTTTTCTAAGAAGTCTTTCGGTGCTTTCTCTTTGTCGAAAATTTTACAGGCGAGACGCGTTCTCTTGGGTCCGGACCCGTCCACATAGTCGGCTAAATGAACTGTTGCGTATGAGCCCTGGCCGATTTTTCTACCAATTAAATAGCCTCTCTGTTCTAAAGCGTTCACTTCCGAGTTACGAGGGCTGAGTCTAGCAGCCATAGGTCATTTGAAGGGGGCACGACCTAAACTTAACCAGTACTAGTCAGCCCAAGACAAGGTCCAAAATACATCCCGCACAGAAATTTCTTTCTGCTACTTGCCAATTTGATTTTCTTAATTCCACTCCAAACGCTTAATTTTGTCCCACTTAAAATTTATTAATTCCAGAGAACTTGGTTTTTGACATAAAACACGAACTTAAATTTTGTCACACAGGACACTAGATATTATATAATTATGATTTTCCTGGGACAAAAATATTGTTTTGTGAAGCCCTTCCTGATTTAAGGTATTAAAAAACTGCTTACATAATGTAGTCAAAAATAAAAAACGTAAAAGATTTATAGCATCGCATGTTTGAATATCTATCAAAAAAGTTTTTTATTCTGTTTCCTTCCTTTGCGATCCTTAATTTATTTGAATAAAAAAGTTTTTTTGGGAAACCAGAATGCAGGCAACCGGGTAATACTTACATATTAGTTAGGTACTGTTATTTATTCAAGAAAATGCAGACAAAAGGAGTGAAATGTTATTTATTTGTTATGCAATCTCCAACCTACGTTTGGCCTTTTTGATTCAGGTTTTGACAAGGTATAGATTACTAATGGGCTATTGAATAGAAGTTTTAGTATGGAACCATTGCGTTAAAAGGGTTTTATGAATATAGCCTCTAAAGATGATAAAACCACAAAGTTACCTTTTCTTTTACATGGTGCGTTTTTGAGTAATCATAAAAAGGCACCCCTTTCAGTTTTCTACAAATAACACAAAAACGAAGCAATTTTCGAGATTTTTACAAGTTTTGTTTGAAAACTTTTTCAATTAAACCTACGGTTTGACTGTAATGAGCATATCGCGTAGTTTTTGGGCCACCCTGTATACCTAAATTGTCCAGAAAAAAGCTATAGATGATTTCATCATCATAAGGTCGTTAGTCCTAAGACTGGTTGGACACGCACCTCCACTCTTTCTTATTCTGAGCTAATCTTCGCATTTCCCTAAAACTAGAACAACCCATATCCTTAACTATTTGCGAACAGTAATCTAATCTAGGCTTACATCTACCCCTAACTTCCGTTTCTGTTTCTAGTATGTCTCTAACAAGACCTTCATGTCTGAGACGGTGTCCTACTAACCTATTTCGTCTATTTCTTATTGACTGCAATAGAGTCCTCTATTCTCCTATTCTTTCTAATACCTCCTCATTTCTAACCTTCTCTATTCACGGTATCCTCACCATTCTTAACATCATATTTCGAATGCTTCTAACCTTTTCTTTTCCGTCTGATGTAATTAAATAGCTTAGTAATCTACCTTGATAAAGTCTTGGACCAAAAAGGCGAAACATTAGTTCGAGATTACATAATCAATAAATAAAATTTCACCGTTTTTGACTGATTTTCATTGAATAAACATTAATATCATCATTGAGGAAGGTAGTACAAAGGATTAGTTAGGTATTACTACTGAGCTACTGCAATTGCTACTTTTTTAAGTAACATAATTTTTTTGTTTCCGATGTTGAAGCAATTATTTTATTCTATTATGGGGATACAGCAGAACTAGGTATCAGTGGTTATCTTGTTCTTATGTAGGATAAAATAAGGTATCTATTTATTACTATTTACAAACACTTTTGGTATTACTACCTATTGTTTGTAATATAACAGACACAAACATAAATTAACTTAAGTTATTTAATTATTATTTTTATCGGAAATTGCGATTTCTTGTTAATTATCCGTAGCCAACAAAGTTGATTCGCCGAACAAGATCAGAAACTGTTTTATGGATATGTTTGTTTATTGTTAATGAATTTCAATTATCAATTTTTTTTTATTTTCGATAAACAATTTTTAAACTGTAAACTTATTTATGAATCACTTTGCATCAGTATCATCATAAAACATCCGTAGCCAACAAAGTTGATTCGCCGAACAAGATCAGAAACTGTTTTATGGATATGTTTGTTTATTGTTAATGAATTTCAATTATCAATTTTTAAAATACGTATTAAATTATCCTGCACATCCACAAGTGCATCCCATGCTTGCTTCTAACGGTGGTATGGCAATCCCTCTGCATTCGTTGGCCAGTTTCAGCGCCAAAATAAAAACCGTGACACTCTTGAATATCTCCCAGTGATACTTGTTCCTATAGAGTTTTTTAAAATATTTGCAAAACCCGCAGATTGCATTACAGACGTACTGAGCCCCATCATCAGGTCCGTCGTCAGCGTCATCGGCGTTGGTAGCAGGAGTTAGTTCTGTGACGGTTACATCGGTTTCTTCAGTCATCTCTTTGATATAATACGCTTAGGTCTTTACAAGAAAATAAAAGAAACAATATATTAAACATTTTAAAACAATTTCAAAAAGAGCAAACTAAAATGGCTAATGAAAAAATTTAAACATTATTTGTTACTGTAAAACAGTAGGCATGTGTATTTGTTGTAACAGTAGTGAAAGAATCGATTGTTTATAAATGCAATAATTTTGTTTTAATAAACAATCTTACATGTTAAATAACCGTAATCCAATGTTGTTGTAAACAATTATGTTTTATTGCAAAGTTTAAATTTTATAAATCAGACAAAAATATGCAGTTACGATGTTAATGTGAGAAAGTACGTGCGGAGATTATTGGCTTCAAATTTTTACCACATATTCTATTTATCGATTAAAAACTAGATGATAATTTATAATAAAATCAGTTGTGACGATTCGAACCGGAAGGAGGTAAAAAAAATATTATTAATTTTTTCGCGATAACTTAAAGGACATTCAGACTGACTTCAAATGATGATACTTGAAGGGTTTTTAGCATCTCAAATCGGAGAGGGGTGAAAAATTCGTGTTTTTGGCATGTTAGCTTTAGGTGTTATATTAAAATTAAAAAAAAAATCGGTTGTCTGTAAGGTCGGTTTACTGACGATAGTTGAACGTGACAACGTCATAAGAAAATACTGATGGAATGATTTCATTTTTCAAAAGAAAATTTTAATTTTATTTGTTTGATAGATATTTTGTATGGATATAGAGAAGGAGGTAAATGGAAATGTATTATTGTATAGCAGCTGTCCACGCGGACGCATCGCTCACTCAAGTAGGAGAGAGACAGATGTCGAACGCTGCCGAACGCGGAGGCCGATTGTGCCTCTTTGTCGCTCGTTCCGCGCTCTCGCTTGCACTTCAAGCCTTAAATGGAACGCCTCAGAGCGAGGTAACGCCTCATGAGTCACGTTTTTTCGTGCGTGCAGCCGGCTCCATCGAATTATAAGACGTTGTCACGTCAAAAACTAGGTAAATATCTAGATAATAGAACCGTTTATCGCAAGGGAAAAAGGAGGTGTGATGGGGGAAGGGTGGTAATGACTTGTGCACCAGGAACAAGTGTTTTGCAGTGAGGACTAAGGATAGGCCATGGGAGTAAATAAATATATTAACTAAAGCTTTTCTCTATTTGATTCCTTAGGATACGGTAGGAAAAACAGCAGGAACGATGTGAGCGTAACGGTCACGACTTATCTTTTGTTCACAGGAATATGGACCTAGTTGTGATTTACTGAAATAGAAGGTTTTTTCTCTTGAACGGGAGGATTCCGACAATTACGATTATCATCGTTGACCTAAACATTCCATACCCAACATACCCTTTGTGGATTTTAGTCTAAATACTAAAGTTGCTAATTATCAAAAATTCAAATCGCAGCGAATTGGACGAAGTTAAAAGTTCCAATTCCCTACGATTAGAATTTTTGGTAGTTATTTATAACATGGACATGAAACATAGTTTATTTACTAATGTTGTAGTTATCACTTAATATTATGGGAGTCGGTGGCAATTTTGAGTCCCCCCCTTTAACTTATGACCACTTGATATTATTATCTAGTCCATTGTAGAGTATGTGGTACTTAAATATCTGAAGCCAATAGGAGGGTCTCTCGTTTCGGAACTCCAGGCAAAAGTACGAAACACAATTTAAAAAACTACCTAATGATTTTGAGGTCAAATATAAAACTATAACAAATAGATATGTTTTGAAAAAACAAAATGTAAATTTATGCAAGTACTTACCTTCATTTACGTACGAAATATGGAAATGTTAATGTTACAGATAATACAAGAATTTTTGTTAACGATGAACGAGAAATTTATGTACGATTTTGATGTGTTAGTAGTGATGTGACAATAGGTATGACGTATGACATTTATTTTTTGGATTGTTCCCTAAAGAATTTTTAATAGAACTGACATTCTCTGATTTTTTTTTTCAGTTGGAAATTTTAAAAATTAGAGTAATAATCGAAATTTGAAATAAAAGCATAGAATTTTTGGTTCAATGTCGTAGTACACTTTTGTATCAAGTTGATCAGCAATGTGTTGATTTTACATTTATAATTCCATTAAATAAAAACAATAACTTATTATGTTATCAACGGTAGCTGTATGTAGGTGATTCTATTATCGCCCACATTTTATGTTTGTGATACACGATCAAACAATTCGCTAATCTTCAAAGCTTCGAATCTGCCCGTTGGTGTTATTATATCGTCGAAATAATGTTCCGCGCATGCCATTATTAGATGTGCAGATGAAAAAATAACCGGCACAGGGTGTTCTATTTTGTGGTTTCAATATGCTGTTTTGGACCGAAAAGTTGTTAGTTTTTCTGTGTGTTTTTGTTACAAAACTTTTTGGGATAAGTCGTAAGTACATTTAAAATTTAATCTCTAATTAGTTTCATTAAAAGATTTGTAGATTCGTTTAAAAACGAAACAAGCCATTACAATTGGAATTTGCTAGATTACGAACATTGCGGGGAAAGTTTGTCTGACAGGATAATTGGCGGGACAGAAGCAAGCTTGGGGCAATATCCCTGGTTGGCTAGGATAGGATACAAATACCGTTCGATTTTTGATGACGGCGACAGTGATTTCGATGATGAAACGGATGATATGGAACCAACATTTCGCTGTGGTGGTTCACTTATAAACAAACTTTACGTATTAACGGCTGCACACTGTGTAATTAATATTCCACAGAAATATAAAGTGTAAGATCTTTATACAAATCTAAACATATTTTTTTCTTATTTATGATCAATCATGGGGCAATCAAGTTAAACTACAAACTACGCTCGTGAATCTGGAACAACAAAGTAGCTAAGAGGAATTTCAAAATTATTTTGGTGCCCAGATCAAAAATTATTGATTTATAAAATTCTCGTTTGTTACACGGGCGACCTGGGTCCTATTCTTTCCTGATGCAATGTCTTTTTTTCTTCATTTCTTTTAATAATTTCTATTTTCTTTTTATGTACTTCTTGAAGGTTTGATTTTGGTTAGTTTATGTTTGAAGTTAAATCATTAGTAGTTTATGCGGCTCTAATTTTTGACCTTGACACCAAATTAGTCTCTAATTTTGGCATTTTCGAAATTAATTTTGCCGGCTTTGTTGTACCTGCTTTAGATAATTGAAATGCGTTTTAGAATATCGCAAAGAATGCTATAATGACAAGAATGTACTTTCAGGTCTATTGTAAGATTAGGTGAAAACTATGTAGACACAAAAGTAGATTGTGAAAATGGCATTTGTGCTCCACCATACCAGGATTTCAAACCTCAGACAATTATACCCCATGAGCATTATGATACTCCAAAATTTCACAACGACATAGCGCTGATAAGGTTAAACTCAACTGTAGCGTATCACGGTAAGTTATGCGATCACAAATCGATTGTTTCGTTATGCAAAGGCGGTTATTAATCGTAAAAATCATCTTATCTGAATATGATAAGGAATTTTAAATATTGAATAAAATAATTCGAAGCAGTCTGTATTCCGTCGAAACTGCCAGACGCGGATCGCGATTTCGATCTTTTTGGATCTCATCAGCGCGTCGCAACAGTGTTGGAGCATACGTAATTCTAAAATGTAGCATCGTACTACAGATGGCGTTTACCGCGCCATTTGTGGTGTTTTCTAAAACGCGCTATTAAGACAGCAGGTAAAAGTTGGTCTGTGTTCTGTCGGAGCTGTCTGCGACGCGCTGATGAGATCCAAACAGATCGAAATCCGCGTCTGGCAGTTTCGACGGAATACAGACTGCTTCGAATTATTTTATTCGATTATGGTAACGTGCCTATCACGTTGAGGTTAGCTACGCCGGGATTCGTTTTAGCAAGTAGATATTCATATATTTAAATGGACCTTGTTGGAGCATACGAAATCCTAAAATGTACCATCGTACTACAGATGGCGTTTACCGCGCCATTTGTGGTATTTTCTAATTTCAAATATTGTTTGTTAAAAATTATAAATCTATTTTTAGTTGCATTTCTGATAATATTGGGGATTTATGGGTTCCTTGTGGGTTTTAAGGGACTGTAAATAATAAATTCACATATCGATATTAACTTTTGAAAGATCGATACTCTATAAATATTATTCCTTAGTTAATTTTTTTATAATGATCTATGAGCTCTTACTAACAGAGATGCGAAGAATTCTTGTTACGATGTATTTCAAATAGAAGACACAAAATAGGGGAGGGCCATCTATTTTAAATACTTAGTGTCAAATCGTATGGAAACTTTCTTCAGAAATACAAAATGCAGTTTTTAAGATAATATAATAATTTAGTGTTGTTTATTAATAAAACTGTTCTATCGTTTACTGAAAAGCTCGTATAGGGTTTACATAAGGTAGTTGCACAAGGGGTGCAAAGTCGTTAAAAGTTTAAAAAGAAAAATGAAGTGACCACGGCTCACACTTTTTGAGCATGCGGTTCATAATATATAAATTATCAAATTTGGTCCGAAAATATTTACAAAATGTTAAATAACTTATTCCCTTTGCATAAACATATATACAAACGGCAATGTAAAATTATGTTATATATATGTATAACATTTACTGACGATGTTCGCGAAAGAACGTGTCAGGACGTTCCTTCATGCTCCGGGCCGCGCCGACTTTGTTACACGGAGCGTCTACTAGCAACCTCCGAGAAGTTCCCGACTGGAAATTAGTTCAGAGAACCCGGATTGTGTCCAGATCCGGATCAGATTTTCTGTAATACGGGCATCTGATCAGTTTTTGATCAGGGTACAGTACTCTATTCATTGATCCACCCATCTGATCAGTTTCTGATTATAGTACAGTACTCTATCCGTTGATCCACCGATCTGATCAGTTTCTGATCAGAGTACAGTACTCTATCCGTTGATCCACCGATCTGATCAGTTTCTGATCAGAGTACAGTACTCTATCCGTTGATCCACCGATTTGATCAGTTTCTGATCAGAGTACAGTACTCCATTCCTTGATCTGGTCATCCGATTAGAAATTGATTAGCGGACAGTACTCTACCTGTTGATCCAACCATCCGATCAGAAATTGATCATAATAAATTATCCTATCCCTTAATCCAGTCATCTGACCAATTTCTTATTACAATTTAATGCTACAAATTGTATTACGGTTTCGGTACAATCTTTAAATCAAGATTGTATCTGATTTTCTGAACTGGATCATAATTCATAATATGTAATATTATTCGTCAAACAATGACTTAAGTCAAAGAACGCGATAGGACCTTTACTCTTGTTACAAGTTGTAACTAAGTGTAACTCACTCACCCACTATTCGGAAATTTAATTAATAGTGGAATAAACGTAGTCAAAATAGAAGCATTGTTTGGGAATAATTTTTAACTGAATAAAAATTCATAACAACTTTTGAAATGTGTTCAAACAGTTTAAAGTTCAATGTCTACAGGTTGGTGTTGTATCGATTAAATCTCTATTTGTTTATTGATAATAAAAATTAGCAAAATTAGTTAACTTCATTTTTAGGATAAATCATCAGGCACTGGAGCTTTTGATTATGCTGATTACGACTTTGATATCGGATTTGCAAAATTAAAAATGGCGGATATAAAATGGTCGAACAAAATGTAAGAGTGCGAAAAAAAAAATGTAATATCTGTTCGAATTTGGTAGTTCTTATCATTTATTGTCGTATTCTTATCAAATTTTTCAATGATTTACAATTTTTTTAAATATTGATTTAATCAAATACATTCATTTCACACGGTTGTTTATCAATTTAAAAACGCCATAGTAGTCACCACGTATGCATGTGTAATACTTAATAAAATTATTAGTTGTGGTAAACTTAATTCATTATTCAGAACTTTTGCAATTGTCCAGAAATCGTGTTTATCCCGATTTTCGCGTTTTTTTTTTAATTGTTATTACATCTAAAAGATAATAAAACTAATTAACAATACCTTAGCTAACACCTCTATTTATTCAAATAAAAATAAATTTTATTTTTATTTACTTTTAATAGTGTTAAATTTTGATTTTTTTTAAAGGTATAGTTCAACTTATTCTTATAAAATTAAAAACGCGCATGCGTCATAAAATAGATCATTGTGGCTT